CGCGCCCACGCCCAGACCCTCCAGGCCCAAGTCATCGGCGCCGCCATTACTGACGCCCTGGCAGCTTCCGCTCCCCCCAAACTCGAGAAGCTGCGCCTCTGGGGCGACGACGACTTCCAGGTAGCTGCCCAGCCGCCCTACATGCAGAACCTGGTGACCCTCGAGCTCAACTCGTTCCGCTTCGGCGCCGCCGGCCTGTCCCGCCTCCGCGGCAAGCGCATGCCGCGGCTTCGCAGCCTCGCGCTCAGCTCCTGCGCGCTCGGGGACGCCGACGCGGCGCACCTCGCGTCGCTGGGGCTGCCCAGCCTGCGGCGGCTCGACCTGTGCTACAACGAGTTGACCGATGGCGCTGTCTCTGCCCTGGCGGGGGCCCCCTGGATCTCCGCACTCACGCGGCTGAAGCTCTCCGAAAACGAGGGCGTCGGCGACGCCGGCGCCGCCGCGCTCGCGGCCGCGCCGCTGCGGGGGCTGCGGGCGCTGCGGATCGGGGGCGAGGGGACGCGGCTGACGGACGCCGGCGTGGCCGCGCTGGCCGGGGCGGCGTGGTTGACCGGTTTGACCGAGCTCAAGCTCTCGGCCTGCTACGACCGCGCGGATTACCTCGGATCCGACCGTCGCGCCTGGGCGGCGCTCGCCGCCGCGCCGCTCAACGCGCTGCGCGTGCTGGGCCTCAAGTTCGTGCGCCTGCAGCCCGACGCGGCCGCCGCGCTCGGCGCGGCGCCGTGGCTGCAAGGGCTGCGGTCGCTGACGGTCGAGAGGGGCTCCTTCCTCGCGATAGTGGAGGCCGCGCCGCACAGCTGCCGCGGCCTGCTGAAGCGCGCGGGTGTTACTTTCTCTGTCGCCTACAACATGGCGCTCCCCGTGCCGTCGGAAGACGAGGGGTCGTCCAGGCCCAGCGACGACGCCGGGGACGAGGGGCGCGAGGCGCTGGCGGACAACGAGGGCAGCGCGGCGGGCGACGGTTTCAACTGCCGCTCGGACGGCGGCGGCTGCGGCGGCGGGGACGATGAGGGGAACGGCGAGGCGGAGGACTGAGGGGCGGCGCGCGGAGGGGGTTTAGGCGTAGACGGCGGCGGCGGCGCGGACGCGCCCCTCACCCCCTTACATCCCCGAAGCTGCCGCTGTTGGGTCCGTGATTGTGCGTGCGAGGGTGCTGGCTTGCTGCATCCTCGTGTTGGCGTTGGACGAGCTTTTGTTGCCGCGCTTCACTGGCGTGCTCCCGGGCTGTCTTCGCGCTCGATTGTGCGCAGTTGCGGCCGTCACTGTTGCGGCTGCTCACACGCCAACCCAACCAACTACGCCTTGAAGGCAGCCAGCCTGGCCCACTTTGACCAAAGTGCATGAAAACACATCATATGAGAGTGTACACTTGATCCTCGGTTCGCGCCGGGGCAGGCAATGTTCGTTCGCACGTTTGCGTGGCTGCCTTGGCCGCCCCAGCGCCGAGCGCAGCAGCCTGCCGGCACTGTGTATCGGATCCTTCCTCACCAGCACTCAACCCCTGGTCAATGCACAGCAAACAAAGCACTGAAACACGCGTGTTGTGCGGGGCGCCGCCGCGCCCACCGCAGGGTAGTTTTTTTTCACCGTTTGCTGTTGCTGCCATGTATCTACCTGCACGCCATTTCAAGCGCCCCAGCGCCCGTATTGCGCTCCCCGACAACGCCCTGTCAACAGGCAGTAAGGAGCGTGGAGAATGTGGTGCGGCAAGTTGAGTTGGTGCTTCTGTGCCCGCCGCGCCCCCCTGTTTGCTTGGGAACTGCATGCACCCATTTTGATGCTTTGCCTGACAAACACCTGTTGAAATCAAGTCTGGGGAGGATGTAATTGAGACCCCTACCTGGTGTATATATAGCATGCAGGAGGTCAGGGGCGCTTGTCAAAGGATAGGCACAATCAGGGCCAATTTGGCGACCGCGCTGTCTAAAAACATGCATTTGCTTTTCTTGGCTAGCTTGTGTGCAGTGCAATCAGCACGCGCACGTGCACACGCACGCACGCACGCACACGCACGCACACGCGCGCGCGCGCACACACACACACACACACACACACACACACACACGCGCACACACACACACACACACACACACACACACACACACACACACACACACCTCCGCCCCCACCGCACTCACCCCCAACCCCAGTGCCCGCAGTGAGACTGTTGAGACTAAGAGCATCTTCAGCCGCCTGCTGGCCAGGAGGTGACAGGGGGGGAGATGGAGGGGTGGAGGGGTGGTGTGTGTGTGTGTGTGTGTGTGTGTGTGTTTGGGGGAGGGGGGGCGGGGAGGAGGTGCAGCCGTGGTGCGCCATTGCGCTTGCATGCTGGAGCGCCATCAACTCCCACCATCGCCCCTTTCCACACGCATCACACACACACACATAACGCGCGCACGCCGGCGTGTGTACGCACGCACACACTGTGTGCATGGCGTGCACACTCGGTGGCACCACCCGCCATCGCCCTCACTATCCAAACGCGAACCCTAAAGTATCACAACCCTGAACCCTGAATCCTGGACCCTGAACCCTGGACCTGAACCCCCCCCAGGCGGTGTGTGGTGCTGCTCAACGGGTTTTACGAGTGGAAGGCCGACTCCGGGGGCAAGAAGCAGGTGGGCCCCGGGGGCAGGGCGGGGGGGCGGTGGGGGCCGTTCCAGCGCCCCGGCAGAGAGGCAGGTGGGCAGAGGAGGGGGCGGGGGCGGTCGGTGGCCGGAAAAGGGCCTGTCAAGGCAGGGAGCCCGCGGGGCGGCCCCCGAGCATGATGGTGTGCCCTTGCGTAGTCCCTGCCGCAATCGCGCGTGCTGAAGAGCCGCCCGCGC